CTGTTACAGTTACTCCTCATGTCTCTTACAGACTCTTGCAGACTGTGAGTTTCTCAGACTCTCCTAGTTCTGGATGACCTTGGTAGTTTGGAGGAACAGTGGGCAGGGATTTTGTAGAATGTGCCTTGGCAGGGATTTGTCTAATGTATTTCCCTAATCAGACTGAGGTTATGGGTTGGGAGGAAGACCCCAGAAATACCATTCCCATCATGTCAGGGGTATAAACGAATCGCATGACCTATCAATGCTGATGTTGACCTTGATGACCTGGCTGGGGCGGTGCTTTCCAGACTTCTCCCTTGCAACCTTCCCCCTCTCCGAGCGCTAGCCCTTGGAAGGGCTACGCTACACACTGTCCATATTCTAGTGGAGAAGGACAATTATTATAATTTTTCAAACTTTATGAAATTAAAACATCTTTTATAATAATTTACTTTTTTAAGTAAAGATTTCTTGGTTAAAATGAACATCACTGTATTTGACAGGAGTCGTTTTGTAGGTATACTGCATCTAAGAGAGTAAGAAATACACGTCCCTTTATCACTGTGTTTCTATCAAGTTGATGGGTTTTTCTCTGAAATAAAGCAAATACAGTCATTAACACTTCTGCCCAGATCATGGTTGGCAAATACCTGGCATCCCCCCATACATCCAAGGCAGATAATGATAATTGATAATGGCTTGTAAAATGCTGATGCAGCTCTACACATAATAACACAGAAGGATGATCATCCAAAGCAAGTTCCACAGACACAGTGATAGAAGGTTCCATTTACATAAATTTATTTGCATCAGAAAAAGCCTTACAAGGATAAAGAGGAAACTGTTCATGGTGATTATCTCTTAGGGACTAGGGTGATTTTATTTCTTTTTCTTTTGCTTCTCTATTTTCCTATAATGATCATATAATACTTCTATGCCGTGTAAAAATTCTAGACCGAAAAAAAGGTATATATTGCGATCTCAGGATTTTCCCACACATTAAGAGGACATGTTCCTGTACCCACATAAAACAATGTCCCAGTGGCTCCCTGCTCAGCAGGGAGTCTGCTTCTCCCTCTAACCCTCCCCCCCTCATGTGCTCTCTCTCTCAAATAAATAAAATCTTTAAAAAAAAAAAAAAAAAAAAAAAAAAACAATGTCCCAGTGCCTCCAAGATTTAGCCACGTTCCACTCCAAAGTCACCCAAGAGACTCAGCTTTATCCTCTTCTCTAGTTTGACCTTTCTTTACCAAAAAGGACATGGTCTACCTTCTTGAACTATTCTTGTCTAGAGCTGTTCTGGTCCGTGTGACCTGAAGGAAGGCAGAGAACAGTTTTAGAACTCCCGAGTAACTGCAGGTGTGCAACTTCCTAACCAGGACAAGACTTGGTGGGCACGGACGGACCCCGGGGGGGTGTCTTCGTTGCCCTGCAGCTCCACTCCGGCCTCCCTGGGGACAGCCCATTGCTGGCCAGCAGCACTAAGTGCCAGGGGGTCCAGAAGGAGGCAAAGCTGGCCACTGTGCCATGAAGGAAGCTCAAGGGTCTCCAAACAGACTGGCACAACCACAATCCCTGTCTAAGGGGCCCTTCCTCGTGGCCTGCTTCACAAACAGGAAACTCACAGAAGAGGGAAGCCGCGATTTCACTGGGACTTCCACGAGGGAAATGGGCACACGGCAGGTAGCACCCAAGTTTCTTCACAGGCATCGCCAGCAGCAGTGCGGAACCTTCTCCAGCATCCCCCGTGCTTGCTCCAATCCTGCCCCGCTCTCCCTTAAAAAGCTGTTTCCACACAAGGCTGCAGATGGATTTGCGTGGACAAGTGATGGAGCCACACGGTTTGCTGTGGCTCGCCACTCCCCTACATAATCCTTCGGCAGAGCTCTTCACAGCTGTCCAGTGGTTCTGTGCCACAGGAGTGCACCTTGGCGTGAATGCAGCCACCCCACGCTAACCACCCAGGACAGAGTAAGCCGCATCGTGAAGGCTCTGTACTCTCAACCCTTCCCACTTACTTCTTCTGGAAAATGAAATTTCACACAGAATGGTGGAGCATGGAGAAAAAGAAAAGGCATTCTGGGAAGCATCAAAAGATCCCTGAATGCCTGCTTCCAGAGAGAAAAAAAGAGCGAAGGGAAAAGAGAAAAAGGAAAAGAACAAAGCTCCCCGCGAACACACCCGATCTGGGCCAGGCGGCCCAAGGGCTTCTGTTTTTAGGTCGTGCGATGACGTTCCTGCAACTGGGGGTGTGTCTGCAGAGCAGAGTCCAGAGGTTGAAGCCCGGGTGCGAGCCGGCTGCCTATCTCCATTCCCACACCATGGCAGGGGCGGGGGGGGGGGGGCACTGACCTGCTGGGGAACCGACTGCTGCCCCCACCCCCAGCCCTTCACGGCTCTGCAGAGGGACCAGCCGGGGCAGCAGCGGCGGACGCTGCTGGAGCCAGCTTCGTTCTGAGACACACAGGCCCAACGAGGAAGAGCTAAAAATAGGAGAAAGCAGGCAGTATTCACAGCTGCAGAACGAGAGCAGAGGGGCCGGCTCGGTCCTATCCTCTCCTCGGACCCATCGGTAGCCACAACAGCCCAGCCCAGTGCTGCAGAACCCTGATGCCAAAGCCACCCCATGCCCTCACTCGGCAGGCTTGGCAGGGGATTCTAGAATTCACCTGCCTGGCGCCTTCACAGAACCAGAGTGAGCCCAATGCCCAGGGCCCCCTAAGCATTCTGTCTGCATCCACGTACAGCTCACCCACAGGGTGTCTTGCCCTCAACTTCTCTAGAGCTTATTCTGAATTTCACATTCAAAGCTAACAAGTTTGCTGACGTAACTGCCAATGCCCTGGGAAATCCTTAGCAGCAAATCAGGAAAAGCAGAAGAAATACACCACTCACAGGCACTCTTTAAAACTACCAGGAAGTGACAGTTGAGAGTTCAAGAAAAAACCCACAAAATGCAGGTCAAGGAAACTAACAGAATCCAGCACCTAAAACCATCTCTAGGAACAGATCCTAAGGACATTAATGGTGACCCTGGCTGCAGAAAGCATCTGTCGCCCATTCCATGTACATGTACACGTGTACTTAATACACACCAGAGTATGGATGAGATGCTGGCACTAAGTTTCTCCATAAATACACACGCACACATCCACACACACATAACAACCTGTACGTTCTGATATTTTTAAAGGGTGATCCGCAAACTATTTGTAAAACTCAGTTAGCCAAAATGACTCAATGCCTGAGGATTTCAGGGCATAATAATTCTAAGAGACTATTTTATTGCTGGCATGGACAGCATGGCTTCATCAATTTAAAGAACCTTAATTAGGAAGCCTATTTCTTCATGGCCTCCCTTTCCAAAAATAACTAACTTCCACCTAGAGACCATCTTGGAACAGTATTGTGTAACGTGCTGCCGCTGAATGAACACAATCATGAGGGCCACTCATGCTTTCACAGCACAGACTAAAAGGGAAGTCCAAGTTTCTCTGAGTTCAATCGGGGGCTAGCATTGAGACGAGAGCACAGGGACACACGTGGGGGGCCCAAGACCTGCTCACGGAATTATTTCAGTCCCATTATATCATCAGTATGAAAAGGGAAACATAACTCAAATATATGATCGGTTGTAATGCAAGTGCCTATTTAGCCAAACTGCTTACCCAATATCATAACTGTTCTACCCATTTCTACAATTTCACAATATTAGGATTATGGATGATTGGTTAAATCTGAATTGCTGCAAAAAATGAGGGAAAAAAAACTTATGGATGTAACAATTGTGACTGCAATCTATCTGACAAGCAAATTCTTTTAAGTCTGTAGTCAAAAGTTTGAAAAAGGCTCCAGACACTGACGTGGATGGAGTGATGTCTCCTGAGGTCTGAGTAATACCCGACCCATCACCAAAAAGAACCAACTGGAGTCAAAGATGACATGCAAACATTGTGAAGATAGAAACTGATACTGCATAAACTCCAAGTACAGTGAGCTCACGGGGACCCACACCCACGGCAGAACAGTTTATTCACCAGACTGGCTGGGCTCACCCCCACCTCCTTAGGTGCTCTGAGGGGTGGCACCTGGGAATGTGAGGAGGGTGGCCAGGGACACGAAAACAGAAAAAGACAGCCCTGAAAAGCATGCTGCCCTATAAGGAAGGAGCTCAGGTGGCAAGCCACACCCAATAAGGCAACGGGCTGCCCTTGAGTGTTTTTATGGTGCTTTTGTGACTGACAGGTGTGTGGGACCTGTTTCTCTGTAGGAGTCTCCAACAGAGTAGATTTCATGTCCCTGGAATAACTAAGGACACTTATTTAAAGGCTGAGGATTCAACTGCAGGACTTCTGAGGACTGCATCCTTCAAACCTGAAAATCTAAATAAAAGTAAACACTATTTTGCCTAGGCTTAGAGAATTTCTAAAACCGCAATGCCAAAGGATTATCTGCATCCTAACATTTAAGGCCATCTATGGAACTGCCGGTAAACGATTTGTCTATCATGCTAATTCATACATTCTCTTAGATTCTTAGTTAGATTTAACTAACACTTCCAATGCACTAGGAGCTGTGAAGGCAGAAGTGAGAAGATGAAGCAAAGGTGTAGGGGAAAAGTACAGAAAAGGCTAGAAGTGGGGAGAAAAATTCGACAGAATGATCCACTGTAAACAGCAAGAGAGATTAATCAGAGGAAGAAGAGAGGGATGAAGTTTAACCAGGGAGGAGATCTGAAAAGAGGTAAATCCAGAGCAAGTCTTACATCTGTGATGCTCACAAATGGGTAAAGAGAAAGAGAAAGAGAGGTGGTGATTCCACACTCGGGAGTATAAACCAGCAAAGGCAGGACACTGGGAAAGAAGGGGTTAGTCTGGCAGCAACGGAGGATCCACGAAAGCCCAGTGGACCACGGCCTTGGACTCCCCAGTGAAGGTGCTGCAGCCCAAAGCAGCATATGATGACCAGCCCAAGACACACACACACACTCAGGACACACACTCAGGACTCTCCCTTACCTTTCCCGTAGAAGAACTTGCGGTAATAGTAGGCCCCAAGGTCAATATGCTCTATGATGTAGCGCTTCACTTTCTCCCTGTGAATGGGCTGGTTTTCTCTGGGCACTTCCAGGACGGAGACGCCTGCGTTTGTGCAGTGGGAGCTCAGAGAGGACTCGAAGGAGCAGCCTTCCCCGGAACCGAACGATGACGAGCTGGCCCGAGAGAGGGCGATCCTCCGGTCACCTTCCCCGCCGGTCTCATTCCGAAAGTACGGACAACTCAGGACCAGCTCGTTGCTTTTCCCGTCACCCTCATCAGCATCCAGGTTCTCCTTGGAGTTGAGATCCTCCTTGCTCCCCAAAGGGGACTCACAGGTGCCCGTCTGGCCTGCTGGCATCTGAGTCTGGGATGCTGCCGAGGCCCCGGTGGTGATGTTTTTCCGCTTCCCCACGTTGGCCCTCGTTGCCATGGCTTCGTTGATATTAAACAAAATGCTCTGGACATCATAATGTGCAAAACACCGCTGACAATTCCAAGGGCGAACACCCCGCTCCAGACGACCGTCTTCCGGATCACACGTGAACTTGAAAGTTTCGTGTTCACTTTTAACAGTCCGCAGCTTCCGGAAGAGGGATGTTTCCACCGACTCCGACTTTAACCTCCGTTTGAAAGGCTTGTCCCTGTCTCTCCCCATGAGGAGGGCACTGTCCATGTAGTCTAATCCTGAGATGCGGACAAATTCTCCTCTAGAAATCTGTGCTGCTGCATGGAGGCTGGGAGAGATTGCAGGATCGCAGGGGAAAAACTCAGGGAACCCAAAAGGGGCCACTGCTTTGTGGTCGTAATTCTCTACGCGGTACCCTCTGAGCATCGCAAAGAAGTTCTCACCAGATAAGCCCTGCCGGTCAATGGAAGATGTGCTTCCGTACTCGCGGTGGAGGGCGGCCCCGGTGTTGGGGTTCACTGCGTTTTGGTCTAAGACGTCTTCAGCGTCGACGTCACTGATGGTGACATCACTATTGCTTCTCTGTCTTATGGGGTGCAGTCCTCTTTGAGGAGAGTGAACAAAGATGTCTCCAATGGTGTACTTCGCCTCCACAAAGTCTAGATCAAGCTGTTCCTCTTGCTGACCATCGCTCTGGTCGTTTTGCCCATTGTGTGTGATGGACGTGACGCTTTCGTAACTGGTCTGAGACCGGCTTTCCCACAGTGCCTTGCAGGCTAGCTCCTTGGAGCAGTCCTTCTTGGGAGGCCACTCGCATACTCTTGCTCTCACACCCATCTTGGGCACAGCTGGGGTACCGTTAGCCGGACCACCACTCTCGGTGGGATTTGAGGCATTTAAAGAAGTGGTGGGGCCCATGTTGCCATTAATGGCTTTAAATTTTCGAGCAAAATAATCATCAGACTGCATGATTCTGGGAGGATCCTTGAACTTCGAAGAGGCTCTGCCAAGCTTGTGCTTCTCTTCTTGTGACTGCCTCGGGTCACTCATGTCTGCGGAGCCAAGAAGCTCCAAGTCTCACCTGCAAGACTGAGGTGAATCTAATTACATTGTTATTTACAGTGCAATCCTAAATGCGCGTTTAGCCTGAAGCCCTTCCTCTGCAGCCGTACTTTCTCTTTTTAACCAAAAGCAAACAACATCCTCAGAGTATGGTTTCTCCAAAACCAGCTTGCTTCTCAGTTGCTGAAATAATTTTGTACACCTCTGTCCTTTTCAAGAGCATTCCTTAAGACATCTGGCCTTGAGTATTTCCTTCACCTGAATTAAAACACAGAAAATAACCATTAACAATTTTTGTAGCTCAAGTTCAATACATTTTACGTATGGTTTCTCATCTGTCCTCTCCAACTTCTGCCCATCCCCAATTCCCCCAAACTGTCATCAAGTTTCATGTCTCTGTTATTCATGCTGCTCCTTCTCTCTGGAACATTCTGCATTCTCTCTCGACTTGGCTGGCTAGAATTTATACCCCAGAGTCAAGCATTACCCTCTCCAAGAAACCTTCCCTCAGCCCACATATGAGCAAAGAGTGCTTCTTTTGTGTTCCCACAGCACCCACATCTACACTTATGGTAGCAGATCTCCTTATACTCTTACTGGCTGGTTTGCTGACCAGTCTCCTCCATTAGCTAACTTCAAGCTCCTCTAAGCAGGAACATAACGTACCTTTCATCTCTGTACCAACATTACCTATTAATGTGGCCTGGCTTAAATTAAATAAGCAACATGTCAATTAGTGATAGAGTAACACAACGGTCATGTAATTTTTTGAGTATGATTATGCTTTCTTTCAAAATATTTAAATTCAAAATGTCCAGCAGCAAAAGGGCCAATACCAGGCATTAGCAAATGAGTTTCTAGAACGTGGTCTCACAATCAAGTAAGACCTTGCAGAGATCCCCATTAACGTGGGAAGGAGCCTTGAAGAATTTGGTATCTGATTAAGTGTAACTTTCTAGTTCATCATGCCACTAGCAATTTGACAAATGTGCAGGGGTAAAATAAAAGCACAATTTACCTTTGTGGTCAGTAGAAACTTGACTTTTAATCAACTTTTTTCTTTAATTACTTTTTCAATTTGTTCTATCTTTATTTAGACAAAATATTTTCCAGGTATGCCGTATCTTCCCAACTTATGGGAAACTTTCTCCTTGTGGGCATAAGAATGCATGAATGACTCTAATTCTCCCGAAAATAATGATGGTAATAAAGGTATAACATAGCTGATTTCCCTCGGTCCTCACCAAAGCATAAAAAACAACTGCAATTCGGTTAGAAAATAGTAAAATTCCAACTAGCTGAACAGTATTAGAACTCTTTCCAATGGGTTCTTTTTTTTTTTTTAAGTAATCTCTGCAGACAGCATGGGGCTCAAACTCATGGTCCCAAGATCGAGAGTCACACACTCTACCCGCTGAGCCAGCCAGGTGCCCCTCCAGTGGCTTCTTAATGGTTTTGAGATGAACATGCAGTAGTCTCTTGGAATAACTGATATTTTCTTATCATGGCAGCTTGCTTCTCCCTCAGTGGAAAAAACTCAGTCTGGGCATGATAAGATGCTGTCTGTTCCCAGGGCAACTTCATAACTGAGGAAATATAATGATATTTTAGGATGTGGTAAACAAAGAGGGAAAGCACAATCAGATGCTTCAGTGCACCAGACGAGCGTCCGTCCATGGTTCTCAGAAAGAGAGATGACTGCATCTTATCTATGTCACTTGGAATCACTGTGTTTAAAAGGATCACGGATGATTCTGAATCAGAGTTATTTCCTCTACAATTCAGGCTATTATCGAATCCTTTCCTGGAAACTGAAAACTGACAACTGATATATTGAAAGAAAACAATGTTAATCTATAAATTCTGATAATTCTCCTGCTTATAGAATACAACAAAATCTGAAAGCTTATGAATTACTTCCGATGGCTGGTACAGAGCTATGTGAATTCTCAGCAAGCATTAATAGGACACTCATGCTCAGGTATATACTATTAATTTGTAAGTATCCTGTTACAGAAGGAAGAACCTTGCCCACTAAAACCACCAAACTGAGTACTTTCAAAAAATATAATCAGCAACTAAGTATTTACCACCTTAAGATATTAGAACAAAATGCCCCAAAAGAAACTAAGAAAGAAGGAATGAATAAAGATTAAAGCTGAAATTAATGGAATAAGGGAAAAACAAGGTAGAAAATGGATGGACAAATCCAAAAGGTAGCTTTTTAAAAAAGAGCAAGGAAAAAGATCTACTCATTCCCAAGCCTAAAAAAGGAAGAGAGAAAGAATAATATTATACAAGTTTGAAAATGAGAAAGGAAATATTACCATATATACAAGGGATTAAAATATATATCAAGTCTAAAAGAATTATACCACAAGCAACTGTATAGCAACAAATTTGAAAACACAAAGGAAATGAATGATTTCCTAGCAAACCACAAATTCCCAAAACTGATGCAGTTTTGGAAATTTTGGAAAAAAAAAATTTTTAAGAATGGAAAATTTAGACTGATGATCACTGAAGACAGCAGAAACATAACAAATCCCTACATAAAAATATGGCCAATGCAAAGAGCCATCTTAACCATGACTTTGAAAGTCCTTTATCCTCCCTGGCCACACCTGGCCCAACCCCACCCCCGCTTCAAACTGAGCAAAACCACCACTTCCCACACGGGTAACCCACTCACCACACCCCTGGGGCAGCTCTGGGGTTAAGCCATCTGCCAGGAGATGTGTAAGACAGGAAACCTTAAAGCCAGGATTAGCGAGGACAACACATGCACTGAATAATTACTTCCAGAAAAACAAACCATAAAATTATCCGCAGTCACTCTATTTTGAAAATCAATATTCTGAGCATTCACATCCCTTACATTCCTAACGTTATCATGGTTTATAACAGACAGTATTAAAAATAAAAAATCTTTATTCCACAGATTGGAATGGAATGGAAGACACAGAAATGGAAAGACAACAGGGGCACCTGGGTGGCTCAGTCATGAAGCGCCTGCCTTCAGCTCAGGTCATGATCCCAGGGTCCTGGGATCCAGCCCCGCATCGGGCTCCCTGCTCCGCGGGAAGCCCACTTCTCCCTCTCCCACTCCCCCTTGCTGTGTTCCCTCTCTCGCTGTGTCTCTCTCTGTCAAATAAATAAATAAAATCTTTAAAAAAAAAAAGATGGAAAACAACATGTTGTCAAAAAATAAGAATTATTATTTTAAAACATAAATAATAGAAACAATTAAAAACAGATGCATCTGTGCTGAACTTTATTATCACACCTGACAAGAAGCAGAGAAACAAGGGCAAACTCAGAGCACACAAAACCCTTCCCCAAAGAAATCTTCTGAGAATATTCCTTCAATTGTGATTTTTAAATTTGTGGTCTGTGATAAGAACATTAGCTGTAGCAGGCAGCAACTGATTTTTCCCACCTAGGATCTGTTCCCCTTTCTTCTCCTGAATCCCTCTGGGGAAGATTACCTCTAAAATGATTTAATTCGTGTGGGGCTAACTCCACCCCCTAACACGTGACTCAGGTTTGACCAATAAAAGTGCAGCATCTCCCAGCTACAGTGATTGGTCCAGGGATGAGCCCAAGAACCAGCCAGGCCAATGACAATCCTACCAGGAAAAGCAACCCCCCACCCCCTCCCGCCCCCACCCCCCACCCCGCAGCATTGGTGCTCTGATTCTTGGCAGCCCTTAGGCGGTAGAACAGAAATAGGGAGCTGCTGGGCTCGCCTTGCCCACGTGACTGAGAACGGGAACAAAAGCATGGAGGCTGAGCCTCAGGAGGGAAAGAAGGATTCCTAAGGACAGAGCTCTTGACTCCAGCTGGACCTGAAACCAGCTCTACCCATGGGATTCTTCTGTTGCTTGAGGCAATTAATTACCTTTTTTGGTTTATTCAGTAGACTTCTGTATAAGTCCAGATCAATTTTAAATGTTCTAAGAGACCACATTTATATTCAGTTTCAAGACCAAGGAGAGTAAATTCAATGACCAAACTACTTTGTACTATGTGGCGGACTGCCTGATCCATGAAGAAATGAGTTGGAATTATAGTTCTGGCCCTTGAATACAATATCAAAACCAGAGCTTCTTGGGCAAGGTCCCTGCTCTAATATTTTAAGTATACACCCTTGAACATATTTCATATGTGCTGTAACAATTCAAAGTATTCAAAGCCAAAAAATTCCAGACACAGTAGCTGATTATTTAATAAAGGTGCAACAGACCCCCTCCTGCAGTTACCCTCTAACCAACATTTTCCAGCTGCCATAGCTCCCCAAAGTCAATCTCCCTATTGACAGAATCATACAGCACCTTCCTTCTAAAAGCACTACTAAATATTTCTAAATACAAAGTATTACAGAGAGCACCTTCCTTTTAAAAACATTACTAAATACATTATTTTTAATACGGTGGTAAAACGAAAACACCTCAAAACAATTACAGCACTTGTTTTTAAACAAGATATATTAGAAATGTTAAGATCATGCAATTTAAAAAAATATTATAGCCCATGGGGAAGAATTAAAATCAATGTCTTTGAAAGGAGACAGTAAGGAGGAATGGCATAGGCTCTAAACAGGGAGAAATGCAGAAAGCAAAACAGTGGAGGAAATGAAAACTAAAGCATGATTTGGAATGACCTGTGAAATAACCCAGAACCTGGGCGTGAGGCTTTGGATGAGAGGGAGACACAGACATGCACATGCGTGTGCACACGCATGCACACACACCCCTACCTCAGTGAATCATGTTCGCCCTGCAGGGGTGCAGATGAAGAGCTGTGGATCTGGGGCAACATGCCTGCATTACAGGCCCCTGGCACGTAGGACTCGTGCCTCTCTCATCATTACATTTTTTTGCAAGTTCTAACTTTCCACCTTTGTCTGTTACTATGGAGCAGTCATCTGAGAAGGGGTTTTTTTGTTTGTTTGGTTGGTTTTTTAGAGAGAGAGTGAGTGAGTTGGGGGGGTGGTGCAGAAGGAGAAGGAGAGAGAATCTCAAGCAGGCTCCATGCTGAGTGTGGAGCCTGAAGCCGGGTTCGATCTCACAACCCTGAGATCATGACCTGAGCCGAAATAAAGAGTCGGACACTTAGATGACTGTGCCACCCAGGCAGCCCTCAGCTGAAAAGTTTTTTTTTTTTTTTTTTTTAGATTTTATTTATTCATCTGAGACACAGAGATAGAGAAAGCATGAGCGGAGGGAGAGGGAGAAGCAGGCTCTCC